TCGATGCGTTTTTGTAAGAAAAATATCCATATTCAAAACGTAATAATCACTTGAATCTAGCTTGCGCTCACTGTTTTAAACGGAAGCAGTTCCGGGGGAATGACGTATGAGGTGAGCTTTGCGCATGCGCGGCTCAGAAGTGACGCACGTGGAGAGATCGAAACAAAACAACGGTCACTAATTAGAAGTACAAAACGAGGATTTGTAAAGAAGAATGTCGGAGGATTTCGATATAAGCCAAGAGGAGACTGGTTTTCCTTTGCTAAAGTAAGGAAACTTTGCTTCTTTTGATCCTGTAAACAAACGTTGGTTTTCATGAGACGCACCGGCGAATGCGCAACGCTGACCCCATACGTCATCTGCCCGGAGCTGCTTCTGTGTACAACTGTTGGCGCAAGCTAGATTCAAGTTATTATTACGTTTTGAATATGGATATTTTTCTTACAAAAATGCATCGATTCGCTACAGGAGGCCTTTGTTCACCCCCCGGAGCCATGTGAGACACTTTTTTTTTGTGGAAGGGTGCTTTTTATTTCACGTCATTTGAACCGAAGCACTGCAACACCCGCTGAGTACAACGATAGAGCTTGAAAGATCAAAGACAATTTTTAATATAACTCCGACTGGATTCGTCTGAAAGAAGAAAGTCATATACACCTAGGATGACTTGAGGGTGAGTAATTTATGGGCTAATTTAGATTTTTGGGTGAACTAACCCTTTAAGATGAGCAAAAATTCTTTGAATATCCAGACTATTCCGAAGTGAATTTATGTAATAAAGGATGCCACGTCTGTTCAAACGGTGTTGTTTTTGTTCTCAAATCTACATCCTTCGCTGATCCAGGAAGAGCTAATCAGCTTTGATACACGTCCGTTTCCTGTTCACTCATGTCTCAGTAGGTGGTGGCTACCAGCCATCCTGTGTTTCCCTAAATCTCGACTTCCGTTACGGAACTTTCTCAGCCTGAAGCTCAGATCCGCCCCTCAGATTTACACTTTCCTTCAGTGTCCCTAAAGGTCCCACACACAGATAACCCGATACCTGCGTGTGCGTGCGGACGCGGTCCATCAAAGGGTCGAGCAGCCAAAGCAACCAAATTACTCACAGCCCCCTCCTGTGTTTTTTTTCAGACATATCGTTTTCATCCATTGCTGTGAGGAATATACGGCGTGCTGCTGTTTTGAACGCTGTAGTGGGTTTGCTGCCGCCACTCATTCGAGTGTAAAGTTTCGCTAATGGAGCTTTAATTTATAGTGTATCATAAAACACCATTTTAACCTCCGCCTGGCCCGAGATGCTGTCTAGCACTGACGCTGCAGGCAAGCACCTCTCACACACATTTCCACAGAAAGCTTTAGCAGAGATGAAATACACACTCTATTCTGAACAACAGTATGAAGTTAAGCAACAGGTGTGCAATTCTCATTCTGGCCACAGGTAGGCAGTAAAGAATGCTACTTCCACATGCAGGACTCAGTCTGAATAAAAACAATTGGCAGATTAAAGTCCTCATTGAGTCCCTGGTGTCTTCCATTAGACTGTGGAAAAATGGAGCGCTCCAGAGCCTGCTGGATGATACTCCACTCCGCTCATACCTCTCAAATGCAGAAGTCTGTTCTGGAGACGTCAGTCAAGCAAATGCATAACAACTATGTCAGATTACACCAGAGCAGCAAAACTATATCCCTGATTGATTAATTGAAACCGCTTGTAGAGTTATTTTAGATGATCATTCTATTCCCAGACACAATACAGATGTCATAAGCCAGATGTGCTGTGATTTTTGCTGTCAGAAACAAAAGCTGCAGATCCTAAAAGATTTATTTTGTTGTAAGGTGAAAACAGGCCACAGTGTATGGCATTCTAACTGATTTACGATGAATATTAGTCTGCAATTAAGTTTTTGGGACATATTATCAAAAATCAATAGACTGTTTTGCAAGAGATGAAGTTTCTTGGTTGATTAACCACCGAAAAACACAATTGTCAGTAAATAGTTTCCAGTGTTTGGACATTTAATGTCAATTAATAATGTCTTGTTTTAAGTGGTTGGTATGTATCTATTGTACACATGATATAATTTGTGTGTGTGTGTGTGTGTGTGTGTGTGTGTGTGTGACTAAGGGTCACTGTCACAATTACTCAATTGAACGTCACCTCCCATTTTGCTGGTTACTGGAAAAGTCTACTTACATCAAATCGTAAGGGAGTGATTCTTCAAACACTGATTACAGCAGTCAGCAGACTCACTCATACACACACACACACACAGAGATCCAGAGCGAGTGGGGTCAGTAATAAGGTTGTGGCCCAGGAGTAACACTTCAAATGGACCTGGGGAACAAGCTCATCTCTCTCTGTCTCTCTCCTTGCTCAGCAACGTGTCTCTGTGCTTCATTTAGTGTGCGTCTGTGCTACTATAAATCTCTCAATCTCTTAAACATACACGCACACTCTCCACCTGCTACCTGCCACAAGGGAGACATTTATACTCCAATTATTCATAATATATGTGTGTTCATGTCTGTATGACCAATGCATGTGTTCATGGATGTTATCGATGCTTATTTTCTCTCGCTCTCTGGTTTCTGTTTCTCTCTCTTGCTATCCTTTTTGTCCATTTCTATCAGTTGACGGAGGAACTTCAGGGAAGAAGTGCAAGTAATGAGATGAGAGAGCTTGTCAAGCTACTGTCCAAACCACATATAAAGGTAAGAGAGTAAACAAAAACCAAAAAAATGACATCAGATATAACATGTTGTTACGCTACCTGTTAAAAGTTTGGACAAATCTACTCATTCTTTATTATTACTATTTTTAAGATTTATGAGCAATATTAGTCATCGAAAGTATCAAGTGACACATCTATGAAATAAAACTCAGAAATAAATAATTAAAAGTTTTGGAAATTCAGTTGTAAGGCATTTGCGAACATCACACAAATGAACGAGGGAATCTCCGCATTCCACCTGGAAACTAACATCTCTTCTCAACCATCTGAGAGCCGTAAAGCTGAATCACGGTCAGCCAGTCGCCAATTGTCTCAAATGAGTTCCTGTCCAGCTCTGCTTATCTGTACAAGAAACACCAGGAGAGAGTGATTTACCAAACCACCTCCAGGGTCGACAAGCATTGGGACAGCAGTGTATGTCTTAGCTTAGGTCAATGTAATTTAGAATAGCCAATAAATTTTGTTTTAATTTATAAAGAATCATTGTCTGGTGTCGTATAATTTTAAAGTCAAACCTTGCCAAAGATCCTTGTTACCTAGCTCGTAGCTTATAACTTATCAAAACATGTATTAACCCGTGGCCAGGGAGAATACAGATATTAAAATTGTTAATATACACGGATGCTAACGTCTCGCTGGACGAACGGTAGATAAGGTGTAAATTATCAAATTTGGAATCAGTTCTAATCAGGTTGACTTCGAATCTTCAGATCCGAGTCCTCTCAAAACCTGAATGAAATAATAATAATTTATTCCCTTACAAATGAGTTAATTTCTTACACAGTTTTTCCCCCAAGTCATACATTGGCATAATTTCTATTGCTAAAAATTAATTTGTTTAAACCGTAAGCCTTTAGATCAGTATTTTTAGAGATAATGAAAATCAGTTCAGACAAGCATGTCTGAACTTTTGACTGATTGTGTACACATTTATTTATTTATAATGATTTTGGAAGTTTCTTATGCTCATCAAAGCTGCATTTATTTGAGATATAAACAGATTTAAAATAAAATAACTTTTCTATAATATATTTTAAAATGACATTTATTCCTGTGATGGCAAAGCTTACTGGCCCCATACTTTTGAACTGTAGTGTATATCGCCTTTAATCTGTACTAGTCTGGCTACACCATCATTGTACTCCCTGTCCTTCTTTCTTTATTCTTATTTTCTTTCATCTATTTTTCTTTTCTCTATGTCTTTAACCCAGTGTCTGTTGGTGCTGTGTAAAGCGCTAGCAGATGGCTTCTGGGGACTAGAATGGCGTCGCTGTACGATAGTAACTGTATCACTCTCAATTAGTGTTGAAATGATCCATTCCCTTCGACCAGACATAAATCAGAACCTATTAAACGATCTCTTTCCTCCTCCCTCTTGTATGATTCACACATGAAAAAACACATTTTACTCATATTAGACCCGCTTACAGACTTATATTGACATTGATGAAAGCGGCAATTACGGCAACCTGTGTGTTGCGAGAAAGAAAGAGCTGCTCTGGTCTGAGCGAGAAAGAGGAGATGAGTGGCTCTCGAGTTTGTGTAGGAAAATAGATAGAGGTGTTTTACTTTGTCCTTTTCTCTTGCGCATATGTACAGATTTTGTGCAGGCGGTGTGTATGGGTAGTAAGTTCAGCAGCTTGAATAATGACTGTTCAGATGACAAACTCTTTCCTAATGAGAGCTGCATGCCCAGTTACATTTCCCAGACTTTATTTAAACAAGTTTAGCAATTTGTTATTGTAAGAGGCCCAGTATAACTAATTAACATGCTCACACACAGACACATGGCAAGAGTACCTGAAGAAATGAGTTACTGATTTTGACCCTCAATTCACTCTTTTGCCACCTGGCCTGATGTTGACCCTATTCCTCCAACCTCAGGAGAGAGTTTAGCTCCACACTCCACAAAACATCCTTTATACCTGTGTATGTGTGTGCGTGCGCGTTTTTCTATCCCGGTGGGGACTTAAACCTGAATTTACACCAGCTCCTGGGGACTCGTGTCACTGTGGGATCCTAAATTGAGGACCCAATGGGGAAACAAGCTTATAAATCTTTTTTTTTTTTTTGTTTTTTTTTTGAGAATGTAAAAATGCAGAAAGTTTTCTGTGAGGGGTAGGTTTAGGTGTGGGGTGATATAATATACGGTTTGTATAGTATAAAAACCATGATGCTTATGGAGTGTCCCCACAAGGATAGTAAACCAGACTCTGTGTGTGATTGTGTGTGTGTTTGTGTTTGAGTGTGTTGTACATGGCAGGATAGTGAGTTGTTGGACTGTAGACAGATTCTGTGGGAAAAGAGTGAAGCTGTTTTCCCCGGAAAATCTAAAAAATATGGTTTGGCTCATTGGTTTCTTGTGACCTCTGTACATAGGAAGAATTATTTAAATGTTTTCAACTGTTCATCATGTATTTATGCAGTGAAGTAGTTGTTAGAGACCAGATTGCTTCTCTATGACATTACTGTGCAGTTGCTAATGTGATTTGAATGACTTTTAGCATGTTGCTATGTGGTGCACAATGCAGATAAGATAATAATTATTTCATGTTATGACATCTGAAAATGAGCAAGAGGGTGGCTAAGCGCACACACTGATCCACTCAAGACTAAAAAGTCTACAAAAACATATTTTTAATAGTTATGACATCACAGCATTATAGTGCACAGTATGAAAATGGATATTCATTTTCATTGGCTAAAGATTACATTTAACAGTGTTAAGTAAATTAGTGTTTTCCACGATTAACTTTAAGCGAGCATTAGATGAGATTCAGCAAAGGTAGTCTAAATGTAAAAATAGGAGAAATGAGCATGAACAATTATCCAATATCGAAAGAAGTGATGAAGACGTTTTGCAGGGTGACTCAGTCATGTTGTGTGTGTTTGAATTCACATCCATGTACACATCCATCTTCAGCTTTGCATGCATGAAATGAGAAATTGTGGCTTTGTGTTGGCATGACAAGCTGCATGCATGTTTTAAGAAAACTGAAACGCAACGCCACATTGATTTTGCCTTCAGAAAAGATTTTTTTTTTAAATGTGGTTGCAGATGGTTAATGCCTTGATGCTTTAATAATATTTATACTGTGACATTTTATTCAAGTGTAAGCAAACATCTGGTGAAATTTTTCTTTTTCCTTTTTTTTACTTTGTGAAAGAATAGATCTGGTCATCTGGAAGAATCCAGGTCACAATGTGTGTGTCTGTTTGTCTTCTGGAGGAGGACTTGGACAGAAGAAATGCATGGCAACTCAGTTGCAATTTAAAATGTTCCATTTCAAGTTTGCTTAAAACAACTGCACCATTCAATCTAATCTGCAGAGCTGTGTTTAGTGTAGACGCAAACAACATTGTACCCTACAGGGATTGGGAAAGTTTTTTCGTGTCTATAGTTGTTCTAAGTTGTTTACATCTTACATGATATACAACTTGTTTCTAAACATAGTGTGTGGATGTGTTTGATTGGCAGGTGTATAGTCCAATCAGAAATGAGGTTTATTTTATAATGAGAGCCAATTTTGTATCACAGTGGTAGGTCTTGATTTCATTTATTAAATAAGTTGCAAATGTGTTTCTTTAACTACACATTGTCAAATGATCAGCTAGTCCTTAATAATACTGATTTAAAGTATCTCAAACGTTCTTGATTAATTTCAAGATGAACATGACATAAATTAATGATAATTTGCAGTTCAGCAAGTAAGTCACATACAGTAAGTGAGTGAGATGTAGATTCAGTAACCCTTCGAACCCATTTTCTAGTGAATTGGCTAATTGGAGTCATTTGTCCAGGAATCAGAACACACTCCAGATCTGATTTTAAAAACTGTATTTTTTTTGTGGACTCACTTTCTGGTAAATGTTTTCTTTAGCAGAGGATTCAGCTGCGTTGATGTAGACTGACTGAGTGATCCAGATTCAACTTTATTTTTTAAATTCAGTTAAATTATCTATGAAGACTGAAGTGTTCAGACAAAAACAAATTAATTATCAGATAATTCTAATATCTAATTTTCAGTAAAACGCTGGACTGATGAAATTGACCTGCTTACTAGACACATGACTCTCTCTCTCCCTGTTTGTTTCCTCTCTCACTCACTCTCTCTCTCCCATCTGTTCTGCTTTAACCACATGTTGAGTGTTGTTCTGGAGCTTAATCCCATGTCATAAAACAGACACTTTTCTTCTCCTCTCTGTCTTGTCTCTTTTCTCTTTCTTTCTTTTTTTTCTTTTTTCTTTTTTCTTCCCTCCCATTTTTTTAATCTCTGGCACACAACTGGAAGATGGTTTTATATTGGAAATATGAGGGAGAAAAAGAGCAAAAGAAAAAGTGTTTCCAGCTGCATTTGACACACAGCATCATTAAAACAGTTCAGTAATGAATCTCTGAATGCTGTCATTCTTTTGCTATAGCTCGTTCTCTGGTAGCCGAGGTGTGAAATATCTGAAATAGCTGAGAACTTCATTGCCTTCTGTCCATCCATCTGCCATATAGCATGCTAACACCTTGGAAACTCATAGCAATGCTGCCATATTCCCAGCGGGATACTCATAATACTCATAATAATCTAATAAAATGAAAGATGACAATATGATTGGTCTTGGTTTTGATTCAGTCCTTTTTTTCCTGCTGGCGACAACATTGCCAAAGAGGGTTGTAGTGAAATGGTGACTGTAATCAATTCAAAAGCAGCTTTATTTGTCAGTAGGAGGTAGTAATCTAAAGCAGACCTCTAAAGCTCCATGATTTATACTATAGGATTCAAGCAGATGCTTGGAGTATGAAGGCTGGAATGATTAGCCAAAATGAGTAGCTACACAAAATCAGTCAAACGATTACTGTTTGTCTTACTGTGTGCGCTTCTGTGGATTTTTTATGTGTACAACTCATTCTCGTTGCAGAGTTTGTTGTCAGTTCATGATACTGTGGCCAGGAAGAGTTACGATCCAGAACTTCCTCCTCTGCCAGATGACATTGATGATGATGAAGATTCTGTCAAGATCATTCGACTGGTCAAGAATAAAGAGCCTTTGGTGAGAGAACTTCCTTGTCACACACACTTAGAAACACATGCCAATTTCCACATACTGTCAAAGCCAGACACACAGGGGTGGCCATAATTCAAGCTCACATAGTGGAAAACACTCTTGTGAACATGAAGCACATAAATACACGCGCACTCACGCGATAGTGTTAGTGATGTGTTTGGCTCGCGCTCCCTGTTCACCCTTATCCTCTAGTTCCTGAGTGACCACATATCCTCCGTCTAAACATGACACGAGCCACATTCCGCAATACCTTACAGACGCTCTCACCCGCTCTGTGTCCAGTGGTCTCCTGCGGCGCATAGATGTATGTGTCTGTTCCTCTTTCCCTTATGTGTCATTCACAGCTCTCTCTCTAGGCCAGATTGCAGGCCAACTTTCGCTTCTCTATTTCATCTCATTTCTCTGCGAGCTGTCAGAATCAAGACCTCTGTTTACTCATATAGTCATCAGTTACCCAAACCTGTTTGGATTCAAGCTTGAGGCTGTACTGTACTTGAAAGTGACAATGAATGAGCATTGACATCTGTTGGCATTCTTGAGTTTCGAGAATCCCAGAATGTCATATTAAATCTTTTTGTATTTAGCTGAGCAGTTGTTGGGTGGTTTGCCAATGTATTAGATTTCTTTTACTACATAACAACAAATATGCTGGACTAAAGTGCTTGTGGGGAGAAAAATTTCAAAAACTAGTTTTTGATTGCATCTAAATAGACTGCATTGTCATAGTGTTTTTTTTCCAGCAACGATGCATTAAATTAATCAAGTGACAACTTTTTTTTTTTTTTTTTTTTTTTTTTTTTTTAAATAAATGCTGTTTCTTCTATTCATGAAAGAATTAAAAAAGTGTCACGGTTTCCACAGAAATATTAATCAGCACAACAGTTTTTAACATTGATAAAAATACATTTTTCTTGAAAGTGTCTTGAGCACCAAATCAGTATATTAGTAAATGCCATCACAGGAATAAATTGCATTTTAAAATAGTGAAATATTTCTACAATTTAAAATAGTTGTTTTATTTTAATATATGACCGTTTTTACTATTTTTGATCAAATAATAACTTTTTAATGGTAGTGTAAATTAAAGCCAGCAGCTATCACTCCGAACCTCTCACCTGGTTGATCACTGAAGCTAAGCAGGGTTGAGCCTGTTCAGTACTTTGGATGGGAGACCTCTTGGGAAAAGTAGGTTGCTGCTGGAAGAGGTGCTAGTGAGGCCAGCAGGGGGTGCTCACCCTGTGGTCTGTGTGTGTCCTAGCGATGGGGATGTTGTACAGTCAAAATGCACCATCCTTTGGATGAGACGTTAAACTGTATCCCTGACCACTTTGGTCATAAAAAAAATCCCAGGAAGTCCTTTGAAAATAGTAGAGGTATAACCCTGGCATCCTGACCAAATTTGCCCACTGCGCTCTGTTCATCATGGCTTCCTAATCATCCCTATATCTATTGATTGGCTTAATCACTCCTCTCCAACAATTAACAGATGTGTGGTGGGTGCACTATGGCTGCTGTCACATCATCCAGGTGGATGCTGCACACTGGAGGTGGTTTTCTTCCTTAAAATACTCAAGGTGCTTTAAATATTTTTGAAGTGCTCTATAAAATGTCACAATTAATTATATTAATTGTTAGTACTTTATGTATGAGAGACCATTCATAATAAACACACCTTCTGTTCAGTTCCATTGTTTTTGTGAATGGCCCTAAAGGATTATGTTTATAAGTTCTAAAAAAGGGTGTATAAGTGGACAATTAATGATGGATTTCAAATGCGTTCCAGATTAGATGCGTCCAGAATTTAGATTTAACATCTGTAGTCGATCAGCACTCAATTTTATAGTGAAATTGTGCATGTTACTTTCTTCTATGTGAAATGATATGCAAAATAAATCTCTTCTTTCCTCTCAATAAACATTGGGCTTTGGTTAGGTATAGTGTGACCTGTGGCCCAAGTCCTCAGCAGTTTTAGATGCTGGCTGCCTCTCAAAAACCTCTAGCTGTTTTTATTTATTTATTTATTTAGTCATTTAGCAGACGCTTTTATCCAAAGCGACTTACAAATTAAATTGTTTTTCAGTCAAGAAGTCGAATGTCAATTTTTTTTTTTTTGTTGTTGTTGTTTCTGATATGATCTTGAAATATTATATATCAGGTGCAGACAGCCAGTGCAGTCATTATGACAAAAGTACTGCAAAGTTGAACTGTCTCTTAAAGTTTAATTTCTCTTTCTTCTCTTCTCTGGTGTGTGGTAGTTTGCAGGCCTCTCTGCCTCTGAGGATGATACAGTTTGTATAATTGTGATTAGTCGAATGGGTAGGATTCAGTAGCTCTGATTAATTGCTATCATTTTTCAGACCATGACATCATGCGTATTTTAGTGAGGGGAGTAATAAGGAGAAAGTGGAGGGGGGTTCAAGTGTTTGGACTCTGAGGATGGGACCCAAATCCTCAAATGTTCTCCCCTCTATTTGGTAACTTTAACCTGCTGATTTATTAGCAGCAATGGCAGGATGCTGAAATAATTGGGCTTGGATCAGCGTACACGTGGGGTGACTGCAGCAGCAGCAGAAGTGAGCTCAGGGATAGATTTTATTTAAAGAATGTGTCATTTTGGTTAAGGTTACTGAAAGGTTTATAGGAAGGCAAAAGACTGTGTGTATGGATGTGTGTTTGTTGGATAGATAAAGTGTGTATGTTAAATCCAGATTGTCAGACTGAGTAATAGGAGAACAGTAGACAGAACAGACATTTGCCAATAAGATGATTTGGCTATAGATTGAGATTGTGTGTGCACTCTTTTCATTCCTTGTTTTGGCGAGCATATTCTCTTCTAGGTGCTTGCATTTAATATGGATGGATGGATAACAAGGATGTGCTTGCCCAACAAAATCTTTTATCCCTAACTATACAATTTGTCTTTTGATGTAGTAGTCTTCTTTAATCTCCATGTCGTTCATCCTGAAGGCTGTAGTAATCTACCCCCTCACCTTTTTCTAAATGAGGACCTCCTCTGGCTTCTGTTCTGTTTGAATGTATTTTTTAATCACAAATGATATTGTCAGTATAACAATTTGAATGAAAAGCTGACAAAACTTGTTGACAAAACTTATATATCCATAGGTATATCCACCTTTTGCTTTAATGACACCAGCTCAAGTGTGTCTCTCTCTTCATTTATCTCACACATATACTCAGTTAGAGGTCTGTTGCGGAACATGTTTCTCATTAAATAGGCTAAGACATTCTTATTTTATTTATGAATCAAACCTGAAAGTCATTTTAATTCGTTATATGGCGAAATGTAAATATGATTGATCGAAGTTCAACAAGTGAAGTTTAATGCACAAGTCAGCAGTAAAGTATTTATTGAATTTCTACAAATTTGCCTTTGCTGTGCATTTAGAGAAATGAGAGAAATTAATGATGTATTTATGCCATTATTTGTTTTCATAATATGATCTCTGCCAAGGTGGATCTCAGGAGGGATTTTACAGTCCTCATCAATATCTTGTCTTTAAATTCCATGTGTTGAGAATCCAGAATTCTGGAATCACATAACATTCTTAAGATTAAAATTCTCTATTTTTCTTCTGACACCACTGATAGATAATGTGAAAAAAATGGTCATTCATGACTTTTTAAGCAACTCGGGGGGGAGTCAAATAGGGACCTCATTTTTAATTGTATAATTTTTACATATTTTTTCAAAAGCATATCATATACTCTTACACACAAATTCACATGACGCATTCACTCTTGAGAGAGCACAAGAAAGATGCCGCACAAATGAGCGCAACAAACCACTCCATTTTGAGGCAGACTCTACAAAAATAACTAGGCCTATTTAAAATACACAGCACATTAAAAAAGCATCTCCTAGTGCAGAACTCCCCGTCAGCCGTTATTATGGTAATCGATATTACTGTAATCGGTATTACTTGGAGATGATCAGCGAATCTTCAGCAAGAACCACCATACAATCAAATAGCAACAAAGCCTGTCATTTTCTTTTTAAGACAAAAACAATGTTCTTTTGAAAATATTTGAGAACTTAGGAATTTTCTATGAATTGCACTCTAGAAACATTCTTACAAACTTTTTTACTTTCTTAAAGGGGTCATATGATGCTGCTAAAAAGAACATTATTTTGTGTATTTGGTGTAATGAAATGTGTTTATGCGGTTTAAGGTTCAAAAAACA